AGAAGCTGCTGCTTCTCCAATCAAAGTAACTAGAATAATGAGTGAAATGATAACAATAACTAAGAAAAATGGTCAAGTATCACAACTCATAAAAAACATAAAGTGGTTTGCACAGTTTTATTGGGAGCAAGGAGTATGAAGCTACATCTTCAAGAAAAAGACAATGAAGATAAAAAATGAAAATTTTGCACCATGCAATACATCGTCATTGCAGAGAAACTTTGTGACTCTATCTAAGCACTGTAATGGTCAACAGTAATCAAATTTTGGCCATTACATTTGTAGGCATGAAAACAGCAAACATTTAAAATGGTGATCACGATAAATTCTTAACATCAGTATCAGTACTGGTACTTGTTATTCTTTTAAAATGTCATTCTGTATTGCAACATAAAATAATCTGGATGCAAAAATATAACATAGGAGTCCAGGTTTAGCCAATTCCTTTCTACTGTCATTCTTATGAGGTTCAACACTCAACTAAGTCCCTCTCCATTTTTTAAATTCTCTATGTGATGAATTAATAAGACATTTTTGAGTGACAACTACAAGATATAGAAAAGTGAATAACTGGTTTTCATTCTACAACCTAATCTGATTTATATTACTTTTTATGGTAATATTACTCACATTCTGGATCACATACGAAGGTACCTGTAGATGACCTTTGCAAAAAGAAACTATTTTTCAGGGGTTTTGTCATCAAAACTCTTACTAGCTTTCAAAAATATTTCTTTGAGTCAAACTCAATTGTGAGACAATCGCACTCAGACTGTTTTTATTACTAAATTGTACTGCTTCATATACAGATCTAACTTAGACCTTAATAGTTAAGGTCATAATCACCATCACAATCATTTTGTTTCTATGCAAGTGTACCCAGCTAGTTTTAAAAATTAAAGAAAAGACTTTATTATCTAGGAAAAACACCTTATTGAAGTAAGTCAGGGTGTTTTCCTAATATCATAGGTCAAAACATTTAATATGTGAAGAAAATGGAAATTAAGAAGGAAATTACTATTTCCATCATGGGAAATTAAGACTATCTTAATGCAAACTTCTCTAAATCATAAACATATAACTGACAGTGGTTTAATGGACTAGGGGGTCAAAATTTGGGTTCTAAGACCCAGAATTTTGGTTTAGCTGTTTGGCCTTGGGAAACTTACTTAACTTTCTGAGCCGTAGGGTTCTTGCACAAAAACAGAAATGTCCATACTATGCCTAATACATGAGTTGTGGTGACCATAAAAGAGAAAGTTTAAAAAAAAAGAGAGAAATTGTATCTGAAAATACTTTGAAAAACATAAGGAACCATCTGCAGAAAATTAATTATTATCACTAAAATTCCCTAAATGAAAGAACTACAAGGACTGATATATCTCCCTTTATATGCCTCTTTTAAGTTGTTCTTTAAATGAGATTCCAATGCTTCTTGTCTCTCCTTCTCTCACTTGGTTCTTGTTCCCTGTTTCCTATCCTGTACACTCTGCCTAACTCCATCTTTAGCATTCTTTACCAACATCAATATGAGTAAAGTCCATTCCTCTTTAAAGTTTTATTTCTTCTGTAAGATAAAAATTAGAGAAGTACTGTCTGGGTCTTCAAAACCTTTTTCTTTTTTTTGTATCACAAAGAATTTTCAAAAGGATGGGCAATGTCCTCCTCCTGTGTGATTAACTGACTCTGAAAACCTGCCGAAGTTTCAGCTATGGGTCGGTTACGACTGCACAGCACACAACAACAACAACAACAAATGTTTTTTCACGTTTACTAATATTTGAGCAAGAGCCTATGGTGATGAAGGAAGAAGTTCAAGCTGCTTTGAAGGAAATAGCAAAAAATAAGGCGCCAGGAACAGATGGTATACCAATTGACATATTTCAGCTAACAGATGCTCCCCTGCATGTGCTGACAAAGTTGTGCCAAGAAATCTGGAGAACAACCACTTGGCCAACTGACTGGAAGAGATCTATATTTGTTCCCATTCCAAAGAAGGGTGACCCAACTGAGTGCGGAAACTACAGAACAATATCATTGATTTCACACGCAAGCAAGATTCTACTGAAGAATATCTAAACCTACTGGAACAGCACATAAGCAGAGAACTGCTGGAAGTCCACGCTGGGTTTAGAAGGGGTCATGGTACTAGGGATATTGTACCTGATGTTAGATGGGTCTTAGCTGAAAGCAGGGAATACCAGAAGAATGTCTATCTGTGTTTCATTAACTATGCAAAGGCATTTGACTGTGTGGATCATAACAAACTGTGGTTGACTCTAAGAAGAATGGGAATCCCAGAACATTTAATCGTGCTGATGTGAAACCTATACTTGGACCGAGAGGCAGTCGTCAGAACAGAGCACAGTAACACCGCATGGTTCAAAATTGGGAAGGGTATACTCCAGGGATGTGTCCTATCTCCATACCTTTTCAACCTGTATGCAGAACAGATTATCTGGGAGGCTGGGCTCTATGAGAAGTGTGGCGTCAGGATTGGTAGAAGATCTATTAACAATCTGCGTTATGCAGGTGACACAACCCTGCTTGCTGAAACTGAGGAGGACCTCATGCACTTGCTGCAGAGAGTCAAGGACTGCAGCCTTCAGTATGGACTGAGACTCAATGCCAAGAAGACAAAGATTCTCACCACTGGACCAATTGGTAGCATCAGGATGGATGGTGAAGAGATTGAGATTGCTCACAGCTTCAGTTTGCTCAGCTCCATGGTCAACACTCTTGGCACCAGTAGCCAGGAAATCAAAATACGTATTGTGATGGGCAAGTCTGCTGGTAGGGACCTCTCTAAAGTACTCAAGAGCAACGGTGTCTCTCTGGAGACTAAGGTCCGCCTGATACAGGCCATGATCTTTGCAATCACTTGTTATGCATCAGAGAGTTGGACAATGACTAGGGAGGACAGAAGGAGAATTGATGCCTTTGAGCTGTGGTGCTGGAGAAGAGTATTGAATGTACCATGGACTGCCAAGAAAACAAAGAGATTCATCGTAGAGAGGGCTTAAACCAGGCTGCTCCTTGGAGGCAAGGGTTCTGGGGCTTCGTCTGACATATTTTGGACATGTTGTAAAGAGAGACATGTCTTTGGAGAGGGATATCATGCTTGGTAGGGTGGAGGGACAGCGCAGGAGGGGAAGACCCTCTATGAGGTGGATTGATTCAGTGACTGGGGTAATCAGGATGGGTGTGTCTGGGGCAATGCGATTGGCACAGGACAGAGCAGGGTTTAGGGCTGTTGTACATAGGGTCGTTATGAGTCGCAATCGACGGCACATAACAACAACGACAACTACTTTATTTGTATATAGTTGTGAGATTCTTCAAACATTATCAAGCTTTACTTATCTACCTGTGCCTAAATTTGGGACAAGAATCTTCAAATAAAGTGAAGAGCATCTGAAATACATATAGCAGCCTTAAGCTTTCTATAAAGTTACCAACTGAAGCCAAGAAATCCGTATATGGTCAGACATCCCACAGATGTGGGCTCAAGCATTTTATAGACAAAGTACCAAAAATATTACCACAATTGCAGTTTTCCTGTAGTACAGTCCTCTAAGTTGAACACTGAGGAGATGAAATCCATGCCCAAGTCTGATGTATTCATTACTAACTGGTCTTCTCATTGTATCTAGAGGTGCCCAGTAAAAAGTAGCCCACTTATATAAAAGCCCTCAACTCAAATTCAAAGTATGACGGTCCATCAGTACCTTTCACACTTTCAATCTAGAGCTACTGTTGGAAGCAATGGTTTGTTCTTTAGGCCACTGTTGTCTTAGTATATAAATATTTAAGGAAGAAAGATGAGCAATCTCTTCCTGAGTGATTAATCGATTCACTGCCTCTGGAAACCTGCTGGAGGGTCAGATATCTGTAGAATCTGAGTCAATGGTACACAACAACAATTATATACATATATTCCATCTTCTCCATGGTGAATTCAATGGTTAATGGTTTTAACCTTGACCCTTAGCTTCACGGTTCTAGAGAATTTCTTTTCACAAAAAAAGGCTCTTAGAAATCTCTTCCCTCGCGTAAATTAAATTGCTGGTAATCTGACAAGAAGACCCTCGGTGAGATGGATTGATTCAGCGACTGGTGTAATAAGGGTAGGTGTGTCAGACACCGAAAAGTTGGCACAGAATAGAGCAGATTTCAGGGCTATTGTACATAGGGTTCCTATAAGTCACTTACAACAACAACAGTCTGTATAGCCTGTAGTTTAAGACACATTATCTTTAAAAAATCCTACTCAAAACTTATTTTCATTCCTTTTCATGTTTTTTATTGCTCTTGATAAAAATGCCATTTTACAAAATGTCCTATTATTAAGTACCCTCCCCCTAATTCCTAGGATAATATAGAAACTCAATGAAGTGACAGGGTTGAAATACAATTTTGACATCTAAACAAGGCATTCCGATGATCTAGTGGATAGGGAGTCACACTCCTAACTCCAAGGTGGGAGATTCATGGCAGTTTGGATCCTTCGGCAGCTCTGTGGCAGAAAGACAGGCAATATTTTCCATGTGATTTCCAGTCCTAACTACTCACATGAGGGTCTACAGGAGTCAGTTCCAACTCGTCAGCATTAAGGAAACTGAGAAGAATGTAAATGCCAGTATTTCACGAAAATCCTTAGGAACAAGATTGCTAACACAAGTTATTACTTGGTCATGCAATCTTAAATCTTAAATAAAACATTTATATTGATTTTGATAGTTCCAGAATTCACTTTTGCTTGCTAATTTGACTGTTTTGTATTTCAGTTCTTGATAGTTATTATTGTTGACTGCTGCTGAGTAGAGCACAACTCATAGCAACCCCGTGAACAAAAGACCTGAAGCCTTTCTATAACTGTCGTCTGTTCTCAAAGTTCATAGAGTTTCCAGAGGCATGTTGTTTAGGAAGTGGATGCCACAAAGTGTACTTCGGACACAAACACTGTGAAAAGGATTGCCCTCCTTTCCCAAAGGAAGTACCTGGGTCTCATGATGCATTTCAAGAAGCCATAATGATGGAACGATGCTAATCAGATATAAAAATATGGCTGGTGAAAACCTGTGAAAGAAAGGGAGAAAAAGAGAATTCAGTTTTTAAGAGCACACAGACCCTGACCACACTAAATCAAACCTTTTTTTATCGTGTTTATTCAATGCAGAGGGGCGAGCTTTATGTGATTTCTGCCATATGGATTATAGAGAAACAAAGTAACTGTAAAAGGCTCTAGCAGCTGTCATTCTCACTGAATCTCTAATCCAATTAATAGATGGTAATTTTAACATGGTTTAATGGGACAGTGCCAATTAGTTCCAGGCACAAAGCTGGATATTCGGTATTTGTTACCCCCCCCTCAAAAAAAAAGCAAATACAACAACAGTAAATCTTTTTGGATTTTTTTTCTTTCAGTGTTACAATTTCAGAGTGATTGGCTCATTTTTCAAAATTAACCTAAACTGCTGTGAGACCAAATAATAACATCCTGTTAAGAGCACAAAAATCAGATGTTAATGAGTAGGAAGGACTCTAAATCACTAGCTGTGTGTATCTTTGTTAAATCTGTGGAAATGAAAACAAACAACAGTTGAAGGTTTTATTGTCAAAGTTCTTTCTATATGATGTGTGGCTTCAAAATTCAGAGGAGACTGCAGAGCAGGTTTGGGGGTGAGACACATTCAGATTTAAATGTCAGCTTTGCTACTGGCCTCTCAGTTTGGGGTCTACTCCACAAAATGAAAGACACATTTATCTCACAGGGATGTATTAAGATACTTTTTAATAAAGAAATGCTTCATTGAAGTGAATATTCAATTATTGGTAGCTATTAATTATTACAAGGCACTGTGCAATGAAAATGTTGTCTTATATCTTTTAAACAAAATAATTTTTGAAATAAGATAATATGATATTTAAAATGCGTATTTAGGTGTGTTGTTTTAGATTAGACTCTTGCTTTTCAGGAAATTTCAAAGTTAAACTGCAATGCAATGTATTTTTATTAATGTTTTAAGTATAGGCATTTAATGTTTAAAATTGGCCTTAAAAAAATGAGTAACCCAGCGAGATGACTTATTTGAGATGAACTATTACCTACATCATATCTTTATAACCCAGGAATGAAAAAGCAAGCAACTCAAAACAAAGAGAGAAAACTTAAATTACATTTTTTTTTTAATTCTATTAAACTAATATCTTCTTTCAACTTCTGGGGAAAGGAAGCAAGGGAGGAAGACAAAGAAAAATCTCAAAAAAATAGAGAAAGAAATCAATAGTTAATATAGAGACTTTCCTACCTTTGATTTCCGGCAAAACCCAATTTTGAAACAAAAGGTTACGGGTCATAGTATTATTAAAATCTGACTTGGAAGATGGCTGGGCCGTAGAAAGATATCAAAAGTCTGTGTTGAACATGCTTTTTAAAAGAAAAAGGACAATTAATTCTTTGACCTTACATATCAAGGGAAACATACGGAGATAAAATTTCCTTTGTGAAGTTGGAAAAGGAAATGAATTCTAGTAGGTGGGATGGTCGAAATATGTCAACGTTTGTTTGGATATGTCAAATCTTGGCTCAACTTCCATTTGTTGATTCTCTTGGGGTTAGTCTGCCAAATTATCCCCTGACAATTATGTTACAGAAATAATCTAGGGAAACCAAATTTGAGCACACAATTAGCTGCTGAAAAGATGTCTTAAATAAAAGAAACAGATATTTGACATTGTCTATGCATAAACTTATTCTACAATGAGAACAAAGTTTTCCCATTTTATCATATAGTTAAGCATCCAGTTGTGGCTTTTGTTTACTGTCGAATCAGAATTGACATGTATCTGACCCTCCAGTGGGTTTTCAGACCCAGTAAATCCCACAGGAGGAGATTGTTCTTTCTCCTGCTGAGCAGCTGCTGGATTCGAACCATGTACCTTCGTGTTGGCAGCACAGCTCCTTACCTCTCAGCCAAAACCTCAAATTCCTCTATTTTCTACTATAGAAAATTCAAGCTCTATAATCTGGTATTTCAAGCCTTCATTATCTGGGGATCATACAAGGCATAGTAAAACTACCCCAGAAGACCTATAAAATGATATAAATCATGATGGATCATTTTTCTACTGTGCAAGGGTTGATGGGTTTGAACTGCCAGGTTTTTCAGTTTCCTGCCTAATACTTAATGCACTGCACTACCATGGCTACTTTGTACCACCCAGGTACCTTAAATAGAGGAGAGCTGTGCATACTACTGAAAGTACCATTGTTTCTAACTCTGTATTGAATCCTAACACAGTTATAATGGACCTGGATGTTCCATTGTAAAAGTGGAATCTGAATGGAGTCATAATGGAGTCTGAATGGGTTGTTAGCACGTCATGGTCTACAACTCATTATATACCATTCTTCTTCAACATTCACCTACAAGAGTTTTCTTTCAGTTCGGGGGTGGGGGGCAGACAGTTCTCCTAAGAAAGGCCTCTCTCCTTCTTACCTGATTATCATGTTCATTCTCATAGCTCTTAACAGCTAAATAACACTCTTGCAGAAGTACTATGCTACTCCCTCCAGTCTAAATTAGTTTCTCCTGTTTTATTTTCCTGGAACAACATTTTCCCCCACTTTATTAATTTTAAAATTTCATAAATATAGATGGCATTCTGGAGGCCTAATGGCAAGGAATTATGCCGCCAACACAAAGGTACAGAGTTCAAATTCACTAGCTGTTCTGCACAAGGATGGCAGGCAATATCCATGCATACAATTAACTGCCTCTGAAAACCCAGTGGAGGGTCAGCTATGGGTCAGTTCTGACTTGGCACAAGAATATCTGTATACATACATATATACATGTTGTTGTTTATGAGCCATCAAGTCGCTTGCAACTCATAGTGACCCTATCTGCAATAGTTCTGAAACCTGTCCTATTATGAGCCAATCACACTGCTTCTGATAGCCCTACCACCATTACCCTAATTTCTGTGTCAATCAATCTCCTCCAGGCTCTTCCTCTCTTGTGCTGTCCCACAAACCTTCCAAGCATGATGTCATTCTCCAAGGACTGGTCCTTCCTGTCAACATGCCCAAGGTATGCGAACTGGAGCTTCAAAATCCTTGCCTCCAAGGAGCAACTTGGTTTTACCCTCTCCAGGACAAAACTGTTCAATCTCTTGGTAGTCCATGGAGTATATTCAGTACTCTTCTGCAGCATTATTCAAAAGCATCAATTCATCTGTCATCCTTAGCCATTGTCCTTGGTAAGCAATTGCAAAGACCATGGCCTATATCAGGAACACATTAGTCTCTAGCATTCTGGATAGATCCCTGACAGTAGATTTCCCTAACAAAATGTGTCTTTTGATTTCCTGATTGCGTGTACCAAGAGTATTAATTGTGGAGCCAAGCAAACCAAAATTGTTAACAATCTCAATGTCTTCTCCATCTCTTACTGTGCTGTCAACTGGCCCTGTGGTGAAATTCTTTGTCTTCTTGATGGTGAGCTTCAATCCATATTGAAGACTGCAATCCTTGACTTTTTGCAGCAGGTCCTTCTCAGTTTCAGCAAGCAAGTTTGTATCATCTTCGTAATGCAGGTTGTTGATGAGTCTTCCTCCAATCCTGATGCCACATTCCTAATCATAAATACCAGTCTCCTGCATGATTTGTTCTGCATTTATTCGTGTGTGTGTGTGTGTGTGTGTGTGTGTGTTTGTGTGTGTGTGTGTGAGTGGTTACCTAGAAGCCAGTAGTAGGAACCCATCAGCTACACTACAGGAGAAGAAAAATATTGCAGCATGCAATCATAATGATTTCACTATTAGAAAGCTCACGGGGCACTTTCAACCTATCCTATGGGGTCACTGTGCGTTGGAAATGACCACATAAGTTGGGGGGGGTGCTTTTTTCCCCCTGAAGTCATTTTTAAATTATTATCTTCTAAAAAGAGTTGTTGATATTGTTGTTATTGTTGTGTGTCATCGAGTCCTCCAGTTATTACTCTCAGCTCCTTTATGGTGCCTGGACCATATGATCAGAACCTCACAGATATTTAAAGATTATAAAAGGTCTTAATTGGCTGGTGTCGCTGCTGTGTGTTTTCTAGTCAGAACCGACCCATGGCTGAGCGTCCAGTGGGTTTTCAGAGGCAGTAATTCACACGGGAGGAGGCTGCTCATGCTTCTCCCAAGGAGCAGCTGCTGAGTTTCGATGGTGTTTTGGGGGATTGCAGCTCAGCTTCTTCTCTCTCCTTATTATTTTTTTATTTTTATTTTCCTTTTCTTTTTTTTTGCATCAAAATTTGTTTCCCCCCCCATTCATATGCAGTGTATGTCACATATTCCTTAACTAACATTGTTTCATAGGATCATTTCCATACATTGTGTCTTATAAAATCAATCACCTTTGACCTATGCCCGCTATTACTCCCTCTTTTTCAGAGCTCACTGGATCTTTCGCAGTTCCTTCGCTCCCTCCTTCTGCCCACCTGACTTCTCTCTTCCCCCACCTGCAGTTCATCAAACCCCTCCACTTCCCTCTCTGGACATTTATACACATCTTACTAGTTACCCTTCTTTGAATATGGTAATGATCTTATGCAGTATTTGTCCTGATGAGTCTGAGTTACTGCATTCAGCATAATGCTCTCTTACTACTACTTTCTTGACTGGTTGTTCCTGGTTTGACTAGAATATATTTTTCAAAAATCCTAAATTGATTCATATTAGAAGTTTTATCAAAAGAAGTGTAATTATTTTGTTTTTAAATCAATTTAACATTGTCCTGCTAAAATGATTACTACAAAGATTATTATTTCAGTAGGGTGCATTAGCCATTACTTTCTATTTTGGGGGTATACAATATTCTTGATTATTTAACACCAGTTATATCCGTTTTTTAAAACAATGAGAGTGTGAATTCTAAAAATTAATACACTACATCTGATCTCACATTTTTTGATGTAATTAATCCAGCTGTATGTCTTTTCTCGGGAGAGAATAGATAATAATTTCATTGCAGTCTTTCAGTATAAATGACATCAAGAATAAGTGGAAGTCTGTATGAAGACTGTTAT